GGTGTACTACAAACTTTATGAAAATGAGGATCAGTCTTTTTACTATTTTTATCTCCCAACATTAAAACACCCATGAGACAGAGTTAGCTTTCAAATATTTGTCACATAATGACAAGATCTATCAACATTACACACCAAGAAGCATGTCAATCAAACTGGCACCCTACAAAATGAATCACTGAATTACTTATGGAATGTTTAGAGACACAAATCATGGTTCAAACATGATTTATTTCCTCTGATAATTAAAGCAGCTTCTTTGTTATTAGCATTTCCTTAGATTTCTTATAAATTACTTAGTATTCACTTCCTCAGACATAATACCTGGACAGTTCTGAAAAGAGTACTCTCGGGGGTGGGCCTTCGGCCTAGGGTTGACTGTTGATCAAGCCACGGGCATTTGGCGCAACAGTTAAGTTGCCCCTAGAAACCCCTACACCCCAAATGGGAGTACCTGGTTCCACTTAAAACTACTTTGCTCCCAATCCAGCTTCCTGCTAACATGTACCCTGGGAAGTAGTGGTGATGGCTCAAATACTTGGGTGGACTGGCACCCATGTGGAAGACAGAGATTGAGTTCTGGGCTCCTGGTTTCGGGTTGGCCCAGTCCTGGCTGTTGTAGGCATGTAGAGTGAAACAGCACATGGAAGATCTTTCTTTCTCCCTCTCTCCCTTTTAAGTAAAATGAAAACAAGTTAATAAAACATTGGAAAAAGAGAAAGACTGCCAATTAAGATGGCCAAATTCCATACTGGAGTGCCTAGGTTCAAGTTCTGGCTCCATTCCCAATTTCGGCATCCTGCTAAAATGCACACCCTGGGAGACAGCAAGTAGGTGATGGCTCATACAGTTTGATCCCTGCCACTCCTGGGGAAACCTGGATTGAGTTTCTGGATTCAAGCTTTGCCTGGCCCAGCTCTGGGTGTTGCAGGCAACCGGGGAGTGCACCAGTAAATGGAAACTCTCTCTTTAAAATAAATTTTAAAAAATACTTTTTTAAAAACGTTTTAAAAGTAAATCCTATCTTACCCAATTGTGCATAGAATTCATTAGGAGAAAGGCCAAAGTTGTGGCGCAATGAATAAAGTAACCAGCTGTGATGCCAATAGCCTATTTGCGTTCTGGTTCAAGATCTTGCTGCTCCATTTCTGATCCAGCTCCCTGTTTATGGCCTGGGAAAGCAGCAGAGGATGGCCTAAGTGCTTGGGCCCCTGCACCCATGTGGGAGGGCTGGATGAAGCTCCTGGTTACTGGCTTTGGCCTGACCCAGTCCTGGCTGTTGTGGCCACTTGGAGAGTGAACCAGTGGATGGGTGAGCTCTCTGTCTCTGCCTCTCCCTTTTTACGCAAGTAAATAAAAATGAATAAAGAGAAGAAAAAAGAAGAGAAAGAATCATTAGGAATTAGGAAATATTAAATAAGTTCGCAGTAAATATTGCTACCAACCATCTGAGTTGTTGAAGCTAGAATTTTAAGTAATCTTTTATCCCTCTTCCTTCAACAATATCTTTAAACGTGCCTTCTGTTTAGGGGAATCCCATATCTCATTCATGATCTGCATCTTAGTAATTGCAGCAATTCCTTTTTTTTTTTTTTTTTTTGTGACAGGCAGACAGGCAGAGTGGACAGTGAGAGAGAGAGAGAGAAAGGTCTTCCTTTTTCCGTTGGTTCACCCCCCAAGTGGCTGCTATGGCTGGCACATTGCGGCCTGCGCGCTGGGCCTATCAAAAGCCAGGAGCCAGGTGCTTCCTCCTGGTCTGCCATGCGGCTGCAGGGCCCAAGGACCTGGGCCATCCTCCACTTCCTTCCCAGGCCACAGCAGAGAGCTGGACTGGAAGAGGAGCGACGAGGACAGAATCCGGCACCCCGACAGGGACTAGAACCCGGGGTGCCTGCGCCACAGGTGGAAGATTAGCCTTGTGAGCCGTGGTGCCGGCCCTGTACTTCCTTTCTAAATGGTTTTTTCCTCCAAGTTCATCATCCTTGTACACTGTTTACAGAAGAAACTCTGAAACACAAATCTGATGTGCTACCACCTTGTCAAAACACTTCTGAAGGCTGCTGATGACCTACAGCCCAGGCATATATTTTTCTTCATTAATTCCTCTTTTTTTGACAGGCAGAGTGGACAGTGAGAGAGAGAGAGACAGAGAGAAAGGTCTTCCTTTTGCCGTTGGTTCACCCTCCAATGGCCGCCGCGGCGGTGCGCTGTGGCCGGCGCACCGCGCTGATCCGATGGCAGGAGCCAGGAGCCAGGTACCTTTCCTGGTCTCCCATGGGGTGCAGGGCCCAAGCACCTGGGCCATCCTCCACTGCACTCCCTGGCCACAGCAGAGGGCTGGCCTGGAAGAGGGGCCACCGGGACAGAACCCGGCGCCCCGACCGGGACTAGAACCTGGTGTGCCGGCGCCGCTAGGCGGAGAATTAGCCTAGTGAGCCGCGGCGCCAGCCTTTTTTTTTTTTTGACAGGCAGAGTGGATAGTGAGAGAGAGAGAGAGAGAGAGAGAGACAGAGAGAAAGGTCTTCCTTTTGCCGTTGGTTCACCCTCCAATGGCCACCGCAGCTGGCGCACTGCGGCCGGCGCACCACGCTGATCCGAAGGCAGGAGCCAGGTACTTCTGGTCTCCCATGAGGTGCAGGGCCCAAGCACTTGGGCCATCCTCCACTGCACTCCCTGGCAACAGCAGAGAGTTGGCCTGGAAGAGGGGCAACTGGGAAAGAATCCGGCGCCCCGACCGGGACTAGAATCCGGTGTGCCAGCGCAGCTAGGTGGAGGATTAGCCTAGTGAGCTGCGGCCCCGGCCATCATTAATTCCTCTCACCTATCTAATACTGTAGCCCAGTAGAAACTGAAAAACTGACATACTAGAGAAGGGATACCTGATAACATCTAATCCTGAAACACAATGATGAGCATCTGATCTTCTCAACATGGACAAGCAGTACATATGGAAACATCTACAAGTAATGTGTAAAAAGTTGAGAAAAGATAATACTGTTCAAATGTGGCTTCAGAAAAACTAAAGGAATCCAGCAGTATAAGGGAATCAAAATCTTATTATTCCCATCTTGTAACCCTGCAATCTCAGATTTCCAAATCTGCAAATAATTTATTTTTCCAAGGCAATTTTCTTCTTTATTTCTACCCTTTATTTCTTTATCTAGAAGAATTATCTTCTAGAGGGTAATCACTTTGCCTTTCCTCAGGCAGATCATCATCTAGAAGTGGTAAATATAATATGATCACTGATTTTACCTTAGTGTCATATGTGTAGAAGGCTTTTACACCAGGAGTACAAAACGTTTATTATTATGTTTACACAAGCAGATTAAATACCTCTTGTATAAAACTGTACAGAGTAAAACAGCATTAATCAAACACTGCTACTTTATAGTATGCTATTAAGCAATAAATATTCAAAATAATTTTAATCAAAATAATTTTCTGGTAAAATTGGCAATAAGATTTGTCTAACTATTTCTTAAAAATTCTGTGCTTTTCAAAACAAAAATGTTCACAAAGTAAGTAAGAAAATGACTTTGAATGAAACCTTTAGCACTAGCCAAAACTTGAGGCTAACTTAACATAGCATCAAAAACATACATACTTGTAGTATGCTTGAATAATCTCAAGTTCTAGAGCTAAGTCATAATATATAAACATGTACTTCTAAAATAAGATAACATTTAAGGTCTCTTTTATTTCATATTTTGAATATGAACTCAATAGCTGCCTAAAGGTAATGACATGTATCTATCTGTGTATTTCTTTTTAAAGATTTGTTTATTGTACTTGAAAGTCGGAGTTACAGAGAGAAAGAGAGAGAGAGAGAGAGGTCTTCCATCTGATGTTTCACTCCCCAATTGGCCACAACAGCCAGAACTGCGCCCATCTGAAGCCAGGAGCTTCTTCCAGGTCTCTGCGCAGGTGTAGGGGCCCAACGACTTGGGCCATCTTCTGCTGCTTTCCCAGGCCATAGCAGAGAGCTGGATGGGAAGTAGAGTAGCCGGGACTCGAACTGGCACACATATGGGATGCTGGCGCTTCAGGCCAGGGCGTTAACCCGCAGCGCTACAGCACCAGCCCCTCTATCTGCATATTTCTAATGTTCAACTCAAATGTACAGCTCAGATCTAGTATTAAAATTCTTATTTTAAATAATCAAATTGTCCTGACTTGTGGCTAACCACATGTTATAAACTTTAAGGATATTTTTCATAAAACTATCACAGTCTGTCCAATTCCCATTCTTTGCATACATTTTTATTCAGTTCAAGAGAAGATTCTGTTAAATCCAAATTCAAGAGTTGAATTAAAATGAATACATCTTACACAAATACCACACTTTTTAAAAAAATCACATACAGAATTTTTAAACTAACATGTTTAACCACATCTTGGCTTGATAACCTCAGATAGGCACACTATACCAGAGCTCTCAAGTATTTTCTTTTCTCTTCCCCGCCCTCCATCCCAGTTTATCAATTTGTGAATGAGCAAACAGTTTGTGTACATAGGAAGCATAGCTTCTGTGAAAGTCACTGACAAAGCTAACTTAGGGAAACCAACACAGTGTTGCAGGCCATCATTTTATCTATAGGGAATGGGCTCTGGCCAGAAAAATAATTGTCTCAAAGAAAAACTAGTATCAAAGAGAAAGTAGTGGGCAATAAAGCATATCCATTCCACTCTATATCTAATTCACACTAAAAGTAACTATCACAGAGGATAAAACACATCCCAAAAACACTGACTGAGATCCCAATTATGACAAGGAATCAGACAAGACGGAAGGTTGGGTGGCTGGTTAATTGTGAATGGGTAAAAGACAAGAGTTTAGGGGGATGCTGCAAAATACCACAATAAATAAAGCATATACCTTACAAAGGTGAGCTAATTTCCTATTTTTCTAGTAGGCAATATCATCTATAACCTTCACGTAAAGGATTAGAAAAACACAGATTTTCAACCAGATTTTAGCGATGTTTCATTCAACCTACCAGTACTTGTTGGATTGGTGGCGGACACACTCAGCGATCCTGTGTGGTTCCGGGTGAGACTGTCATTGGTTGGCGGAAGGCCTGAAGGTGACCATGATGACGTGTTGTATCCTGACAGACTTTGCTGCTGGTGGTGCTGCTGTGATGGTGGAGGTGGAAGCGGTAATGGATGGCCGATAGCTGTGTTTTGACCAGAAAATGGATGATCTTTAACTGGCCTGACAGTTGGAGCATTTGGAGAGGTAAACATTTGCCCATATGGGTCACCCGCAGGCAACGAGGGGTATGAAACACTAGGATACGCTGCATTAGAAACAGCTGACGTAGCATAATGACCACAAGTAGAGGGAAATCCCTGAGAAGCAATGGAGGAGTTGGCAGAGTACGTGGCTGGACTACTGTAGTGATTCACAAAAGAGGAATATGGCTGGGAGGCACTCGTATGTAAATGGGATGCTGATGATGCAGCACCTTGGAAGGATCCTGGAGTGGATCCCACAAGATGAGGGGCAGGAGGACCCCTGCCATATATCTGCTGTGCTCCTGCTTGTTGGTTCGCTGTGCTGGGAGGCATCACATTTTGGGTTGGTACTGCATAGAGACCAGAGTAGTAATCATCACACTGGCTATCCAATGGCAATGAGGTCATTTTCCCAGGTCCTTGAGAGTAATGTCCTGAGGAAGCAATATAGTTTTGATGATGCAATCCAACCCAGAAGGAACCTGCATTTGACTTTGTGCTGGACCTGGAAAAGACAAGTATTTACAGAGATGAGTCAAGGAATGTTTAAGCATAGTTCCCACACAAATGTTAACCAATTAATTTCCTTTTCCATAATCCCAAATTATCACAAAAGATATACACTGTAATAAATCCAGACAGCCCCCATTCATCCTCACCTCTTGATAGTCATCCCCTCGTGCGGTCATGCCTCACAATATAACAGGACTGGTCTGTGTGACCAAGACCAAGAGCACACAGCAGAGGTGGTGATATATAACTCTTTTTAAAGATGTATTTATTTATTTATTTGAAAAAGTTTCACACAGAGAGAAGGAGAGGCAGAGAGAGAGAAAGGTCTTCCTTCCACTGGTTCACTCCCCAGTTGGCCGCAACTTTCAAGATTGCTCCAGTTTTAAACTCTGGCTCTTTCTCTCAGATCACTCAGTCTGGCAGAAGCAAACCGCCAAGCTGTCATCAGCACTACGGAGAGACCTATCCAGTGAGAAACGGAGTAGACTTACAGGTAGATCATTCATAATGGTCTTGTGATGACTACAGTCCAGCTACCACCTTGACTATAATCTCTGGGCAAGAACCAGAGATGTTCTGAAGTTTATGTCCCTAAAAAACTACGAGATAGGGGCAGGCGTTGTTGCACAGCAGGTTAAGCCACCATTTGAAACACCCATATACCCTATCGCGCTGCCAGTTTGAGCCCTGGCAACTCTGCTTTCTATCCAAAGAAGCGGTGGATGATGGCCCAAGTACTTGGGTTTCCACTACACATGTGGGTTGTTGGAGACCTGCATGGAGTTCTGACTCCTGGATTCTGGCCTGGCCCAGCCTTGGCTATTGTGGCCATTTGGGAATTGATCTAGTTCACTCCCCACCTCCCCAAATAAACAAATCTGTAAACACACACACACACACACACAGACAAATATCTGTTGTTTTGAATTGGTACATTTGGGGCTATTTTGTTAATATAGCAATAGATAACTACTCTACTCGGCATAAAAGGAGTGCAAACCTTTTTTGTCACATTGTTTCCTAACTATAAAAGCAGCAATGTACTCACTGTAGAAAACCGAAAGTTCAAGCAATGATGATTATGAAGTAAAATTCCCTGCTTTCTGGTAGCCGAAATCCTACTTCCCAGATGTAACCACATTTAATGGTTTCTTGTGTATCCTTTATAATCATATACAGATGGATGTATGTATAAGCATTTATTTAACATTTATTTTCTTTCTCAAACATACAAACAGAATCATATGACAATTCTGCAACACTACACACACACACACACACACACACACATATACGTGTGGTGTTTCTGTGACCCATATGGGAGACCTGGATTGAGCTCCTGGCTCCTGGCTTTGACCTGGCTGAGCCCAGCCACTGAGAGAGTATTTGAAGAGTGAAACAGCAGATGGGAGCTGGGTCTCTCTACCTCTCAAATAAATACAAGATTAAAAACAAAAACTCACACGAGTCTTTCAGATTCACTGACACAAATAAAACAAAGGAAGTGTTACTGTTTTCTTTGCCACGATAATGTATAAAAATATTTCCTTTATAAAAGACTTAGAATAAAGCTTGCGTTTCTTGAATATTTTCAATTTATGCAAAATAATGTCATGGAAACTTCATTTTTGCTCATGCAATACATATTCTATAACCAATATAAAGACAGCTTACAATCAAGCTATGAGAAAAAAGTCATATCCACACTTCTATAATTCCAAATATACAGAGTAACAAAATTTAGACACTAGGCTTATGATTTACTTTTCTTACGGGTTACTTTACATGATCAATTTCATCTGAAAGAATTTGTTTAGGGGCCTACACATTATTGCACAATGGGTTAAGCTGCCACCTGCATGCCAGCATCCCATATGGGCATCAGTTCGAGTCCTGGCTGCTCCACTACCAATCCAGCTCCCTGCTAATGGGCCTGTGAACGCAGCAGGAGACAGCCCAAGTCCTTGGGCCCCGGCAACCCACATGAGAGAACTGGACGGTGTTCCAGGCACCTGGCTTCACCTAGGCCTGACTGTTGTGGCCATCTGGGGGGTGAACCAATGGATGGAAGAGACACACCCCCTCTCCTCCGCCCCAGTAAACTGTCTTTAAAACAGTCATATAAATCAGAGTTTCGGCTGGAGTTCCAGTTTTCCATTTCTTTTTTCTTTTTTTTTGATCCCCAGGAATACTTTCATTTATTTTATTCGCTGTTATTGTTTTCCCCAAAGAAAACTTGTATTTAAGGAATACAAACTTCACGCGTTTCATAAGTACAACTTTAGGAAGACAGTGATTCTTCCCACCACACCTGCCCTCCCACCCACTCTCCCACCCTTCTACCTCCTCCCTCTCCAATTCCCAGTCCCATGCTCCATTACGATTCATTTTCAATTAACTTTGTACAGAAGACCAACTTTATACTAAGTAAAGAGTTCACCAATTTCCAAAAAAAAAAGTTCCACAAGGGCTGTTCAAAGTCATTGCATCTCAAAGTTAATTTCACTTTTTTTAGAAACTTAGTTAACTGTTTTTTAATAATTATTTTTTATTTATTTGAAAGAGTTACAGAGAGAGGTAGAGCCAGGGAGAAAGAGAGGTCTTCCATTCTGCTGGTGTACTCCCCAAAAGACCACAACAGCCAGAGCTGAGCCAGGAGCCAGATGCTTCTTCCGGGGCTCCCACACAGGTGCAGGGGCCCAAGGACTTGGGCCATTTCTACTGCTTCCTCAGGCCATAGCAGAGAGTTAGATCGGAGGACAAGCAGCCAGGACTCGAACCGGCGCCCGTATGGGATGCCTGCGCTGCCGGCTGGGGCATTAACCTGCTGCACCACAGTGCCAGCCCCATTAACTTAATTAACTTTAAAGAAGCACACAAGAATGATACATCTTTTGTGAGCACTTAGACATAACTGTCACTATGAGACATAAGAACTTCCTCTCTCAATATGTTAAAAAAAAGTAAGTCCTTGAGAATAAGGTTTATCATTAATTAAGATAGCACCTAAGAAAACAAGCAATGGAGTTGGACACTTAGGCATAACTAAAACTTATGAGACATAAGAATATCCTCCACTTGATACACTAAAATGAAATAAATCTTTGAGAACAAATTTTACTGTTAACTCAAAATACAACTCTTTAGCTACTCTACTTCTGACCCAGCTTCCTGCTCATGAACCTGGGAAGGCAGGGGAAGATAGTCCAACTACTTAGGCCCTTGCCACCCACGTGGGAGACCAGAAAGGTACAGACTTGGCTGTTGCAGCCATGTGGGGAGTGAACAGCACATGGGGGTCTCTCCTCTCTGTCTCTGTCTCTCTGTAACACTGCCTTTCAAATAATTGTTTAAAAAAAGAGAGAGAAAGAATTTGCTAGCTTTCACTAACGTCTCAGAAAACTTTTCTCTGAAGGGAGGAGAGAACTTCCACTTTGCTTATGGCCTGTCTAATTACTGACGGAGTTTGTCGATTCAAAAGGCTTCCATAGCCTTAGCAGCTCAGGTCAAGGGCCTCAGGTGATCAATAAGAGTGTCAATTGTTAAATCAACAACAGGAGTCACTGTGCACTTTTCTTACTCCCCATGTAGGACCTCTGTCCTTCCTGAGTTGTACTATGGGAATTAACTACAAAACTTGCTCTCAAACTGTACTTTATACTTTGTGTGTCTGTGTGAGTGCAAATTGTAGAAATCTTTACTTAGTATAGAATTGGTTTTCTGTATATAAATTAATTAAAGATGAATCTTAAAGAAGAATGGGATGGGAGAGGGAGTAGGAGGAGGGACGGGAGTGGGGGTGAGAGGGTGGGTATGGGGCAAAGAACCGCTATAATCCTAAAGCTGTACCTATGAAATTTGTATTCATTAAATAAAAGCTTTCTTAAACACAAACACACACACACAAAAGAATTACCCACCAGATGAAGTCTATTTACTTGCCAGTCCAAAGAAAAAGATAATATATACCAGGAACTCAGAAAACTCAAACCCCACCCCACCAAAGGTAGTTAGGAAATGGAATGCAATCCAAGCAGCTAGGAAATAGGCACAGTACCTGATTAGACAATTGTGAAAAGAATACAAATAACCAACAGCCATATGAAAATATATTCACCGTCACTAGACTCAGGAAAATACCAATCAAAATCACAATAGGATATCAGCACACTCCTGTTAGAACAATTATTACTGGGGCTGGCACTGTGGCATAGTAAGTAGGTTAAGCCTCCACCTATAGTGCCAGCATCCTATATGGGCAACGGTTCGAGTCCCGGCTGCTCCACTTCTGATCCAACTCCCTGCTGATGCACCTGGGAGAGCAGCAGAGAGAACAGCCTAAGTGTTTGGGTCCCTGCAACCACATGGGAGATCCAGAAGAAGCTCCTACTCCTGGCTTCGGCCTGGCCCAGCCGGGGCTGTTGTGGCCATTTGGGGAGTGAACCAGCAGATGGAAGATCTCTCTCTGTCCCTCTCTCTGTAACTCAAATATACAAAATCTTAAAACAATAAAGAGAAAAAGATATAGAAAAGCAGTTCTCAAAGCTTACTATACAGAAGCCTGTCCCTACCAGAGATTCTTCAGAGGATCCATTAGTAAAAACTATTTTATTTTATTTTATTATTGTTTGTATTCAACAGGTAGAGTCAAGATAGTGATAGAGACAGAGAGAAAGGTCTTCCTTCTGCTGGTTCACCCCCAAAATGGCCACTACGGCAGGCACTGTGCCGATATGAAGCCAGGAACCAGGTGCTTCCTCCTGGTCACCCACGTGGGTGCAGGCCCCCAAGCACTTGGGCCATCCTCCACTGCCCTCCCGGGCCACAGCAGAGAGCTGGACTGGAAGAGGGGCAACCAGAACTAGAACCCGTGCTCACATGGGAGCCGGAGCTGCAGGCAGAGGATTAACCAAGTGAGCCACAGCGCAGGCCCCCAGTAAAAACTACTGTAATCACAGC